GCGGGGGCGGGGGGTGTCCGGAGTGAGGACGAGGGACTGAAGTCTTCAGGCTGATTAGCTTTGCAGGGACTCGAGGCTCAAGGCTTTAATTTTATATTATAATTGAGTGCGAAAGTACTGGAAAGGTAGTGATGAAAAATAAATTTGCTTATTGCTGGTAAAAACAAAACCCCAAACATTTCCCATTCCGCCCTCCGCGAGGACATCCATCTCCACCGATGACATTTCGGAAAGCACACCCCCCAATGAAAACTGTAACTCTAAATGTCCTTTTAGTTTCCAGTGAATTATAGGCTAGTTCTATGGCTCTCTGGAATTTTATTAGAAAGCACAATTCGAGGAGCCTGTTGTGCACCCGGAGTAAAGGAATTTTCTCTAGTGCCCCAGGCAAAGACCCGCACAGCTGGAAGTGTCTTGGTCTATTACTGACAGCTGCTCGATGTTAACAGCCGCGGCCTTCGGAGTGCTTTGGTTCAAACCTCATGGATTTATTTTCCTTTTCTACACCGTGTTTTCTTCCTTAAACCGTGCTATCGTTTTCTTTTACAATTTTCTGCCCTGTTTGGATGTGGTGTTAGACTACGGCCAATGTAACTTAAGTGATTTGGGGTGAGGGCCAGTGACAAATATTTGAGGTGACTTGTGTTAGTCCTTAAACACGGGTGCCGAGCTGAATAGACCTTGGGGGAGGGGGGGACAGGGGGAGGTGCTGTGAAGGTTCAGAGCTCCTGATAAACAAGGGCCCTCCTCAACCCAGCCCAAGACCGTCTTCTGCTGCGCTTTAGAACTTAAGCTTACGGAACATAATTTAATTACAGAGGCAAGCCAGGGCGTTTGAGTGACTTGCCCAAAGTGACATGTAACATAACAAGTGAGAAGCAGATCAGGACAGAACCTATGGTATAACGTCCTATAGGACTAGGACTTTCAGTATCACCTGGCTTTTGCAAACCAGAAAGATGAGGCCCAAAGGAGCTAATTAGGACAGGCTTAGATCTCCTATTACAGATTAGAAAGAGCTGGACTTGGAGCCAGGCCACTTGTGTTAAAATCTCTGTGAACTGTAGTGAGTCATTTAACCCTTTTAAACCCCAGCCATCACTTAACAGCATCTTGGCCTCCTCTGCACCCCCCTGCTGTGGGAGCCTTGGGGGCAATCCAGCATGGGGGCAGGGGAGGGCACTGCTACTCCAGATCTGGGTCTCCCTGAGTCATCAGCTCCCCGCTGATACTTTGTCCTTTCTGGCTTTAGCACCCTCCTCTCCTACCCTCACAAGGGCTGTCCCAAACTCTCATCACTCTCCCCAAGCCTTTTACATTTCTTCCCTCCCTCGCCTCCCCTAAACAACCCTCAGCCTCAGTTCTGTAAACTAAGAAGCAATTAGGAAGCTTCTGTGCAACTCTTTAACCCCTAATCTGCAAAGTTGCCTTTTTGCACAAACTTTCTTCTCTGCCTGCTGTCTTGCTTGCTGTACCCCATGGCTGGCAATGATGCTGGTGAAGAAACTGAGGCTTAAAGAGGTCAAGTGACTTGCCGGATGTGCTGGTTAATGATACTAAAAGGAGAAATAATTTCACCACTTGAAGCTTTTGGGCCCTGATACCA